GACCCCCAACCACTCAGCAGGACATCCCAGGCCCACCGCCACCTGGGTGCCCCGCCTCGCACGCTCTGCTCCAGACACGTGGGGCCACTGAGCCCCCTTCTACCACCTCTGCACCCGTCTCAGACCCCGGGAGCCCCCACTCCGATCCCACCCGCCCGCAGCCCAGCCCAGACCCCACGGCGTCCAGGATGCTGCTGTCCAGGCACGGCCTTGGTCCACGCCATGTTGAAGGGTTTTCTGTGCTGAGCTGCACCCTATTCATCCCTACGTGCCCAGCACACGGCGGACGCTCGGCAAATGCTGCTTTACAAAGACACGTACGAGACAGGGCTGCACCTCACCCGACAAGGGTCAGCCAACCATGAAACCAGCTACTTAGGATTTTGCGCGACGGGAAAGGGATGGGATGTTTTGGTTAGGCCGTTCCAAGCCCAGAATCAGGGGAGTCACCCAAGGGCTGGCCCCAGGGGCTCTCCCCAGGGTGGTTGTGGGGTGGGACCATCGGCCTTCCCGGCACCCTGACAGGTGCAAGCACCCCCACCCAGGGGGTTTTCACCTGCCTCCCAGGCCCTGCCTCAAATGTGCTATGGGACCCTGAGAAAAACCCAGCAAAGTTCACATCCCTCTGGCTCAGCTCAGATTCTGGGTCCCTGTACCTGTGCCCCCAGCGAGCACACCCCCATGGGGCACAGGGCCATCTGTGCAGGCCAGTGAGCCCCTGCCAGGCAAGGACCCTCTCCCAGCCTCTCTCAGCCCACGCCTGACGGGCCTCCCCCGCCGAGGGGCAGGAGCCATGGAGGGGAGCCCTGCCCCGCTTGTCTCCAGGAAGCCGGGACCACTGAGAGGGCAGGTCAAATGACACAATCTGGAGGCCACCCTGTCGCCGTGGCCCCAGCACAGTCCCCACAGAGGCACAAAGCCTAAAACCACGGGGAACAGAGGCATCGAGGCTTCTGCACACTGGGCCTGTTTTCCTCGGGCCCTTGGGAGCCACAGGCCACTCTGGGAGGGACCCCGAGTCACAAAACCTGTCCACACAAGAAAACGTAACTGCTCCCGAGGTCACAGTGCTCCCGGGTGCTCCCTCTGACGACCACAGCAAACCTGAGATCCTGAGAAAACGGGCATCGCCCCTGGAGGGGAGCCCGGTTCACCCCAGCGAAGGCACCGCTGCTCAGCAAGCTGGGCACGGAGTGCTGTCACTGCTCCGTCCAGTCCCCGTGAAAACCCAGCAGGGCCGAAGTCGACAGTGGAAATGATACTGGCATCACCTCGGGGTGGGGAGCCCGTGAGGCGAGGGCTCGTTCTGGCTACAGCTTCAACGGAGCACAAATGGACCGGAGTCAGTGGCCAGACATGCCCGCCGGTCCCGTGCAAAGGGCCGGGGGCCAGAACAGTCAGGAGGGGTAAAGTAAGGCAAAAGAAAGTGGCAAAGCTTGTTGTGGCAGAGCACTGTCCTTTCTTCCCAACCCCACATGCAGGTCGGTCCCCCCCAAGAGGAGCATCTATTCCCCTCCCTGGACTGTGGGTTGGACCTGTAGCAGTCTGGGGTCCCCCTCCCACTGCGGTCATCCTACAATGGCCCCCTCATCATGCCACTCCCTCAGGGCCCCCAGGGGCTTCCAGAATAAAACACACACCTCTTACCCCATCTGGTGGTCCTCCGTGTCCCCATCACCCTCCACCTGCCACCCCGCTCCCTCTTCCTGCCCCAGGGCCTTTGCACACCTTGTCTTTTGCCTAGAGCACCGCCCTCCTTGTTGGCTGGGGGCGGGGGTGCTTCCTCGGCCATCCAGGCCTCAGCTGAATGTCTCTCATCACAGGGGACCTCCAAGTCCCCCATCCATGCTCTGGCACCGCCCTACTTTCCCCACCCAGAAGTGGCATAACCTGATTTTTTGCGGTTTACATCTCTCCCTCCGTGAGCCCCTGAGGACTGAGAACCTGCAGGTCTTGACCCTGCTGCACCAGCTGCTGGCACTCAGAAGCTGCCAGATAAACATTCGTGGGGGGGCGGGGGGGACACGGAGGGAGGGGCAGGGAAGAAGGATGATTTCCAGTCTCACCTCTCAACCCCAAGACACATGTGCACAAACAGCATCCCATCGAAGCTATTTTTTTGGTGAGGTCTTCTTCTCTGTTTCCCTTTCTAGCTTTCCTCTCTCCTTTCTTTCCTCCCTCCCTCCCTTCTCTTCCCTTCCTTCCTTCCCTCCCTTTCCATATGCCCACAATAATAATACAAGATACTGGGTATCGTTTGCTTACTTTCCGGTGGCACGTGTTACGAAAACATCCTTTTCATCTTAAACCACCCACCCGCGGGCAGCCAGGAGGGCACCGCACTGAGGAATGCCCACGAACAGGGAGCCACGTTCCAAGAACAGACATCTCCACTCAGGGACGGAGCGGGAACGTGGCCAGAATATAGCATTAACTATTAACTAACGTCGCATGTGCTGGTAAACACAACGTGCGCCTTATGTGGATCTCACGGTCAGCTTCTCTCAGACCAGGGATCCTCCTGGACACCCCAGGTTCTGGGAGACAACGGCCTTGCCTTGAACTTATGTCGTCTGGGCTGGATTCCTAGGCCGCCACAGGCACCTGACTGCCCATACATGGGGCCCGTGGAGACCAAATGGGCTGTCCCAACCACAGGGACACTGCCTGCTAAACCACA